CAGGTTTGAATCTTGTTTGCTGTTCCAGTTTAACTCTCTTTGGGTATGTCTACACTACAGGATTAATCCGAATTTAGATAATTCGAATTTGGGAAACAGGTTGTATAAATTCGATTGTGCGCGGCCACACTAAGCACCTTAATTCGGTTTTAAACCACATTAATTCGGTGGTGTGCGGCCACACTACCCCATTAACTTAAACACAGTAATTCGGTGGTGTGCGTCCACACTAACCCTAATTCGAATTAACAAAATCGATTTAGGCTCTACTCCGTTCGTCGAGGTGGAGTACAGAAATCGATTTAAAGGGCCCTTTAATTCGAATTAACTGGCTCTAGTGTGGACGGGTGAAGGGTTAATTCGGATTAAGGCAGCTAAATCCGAATTAAAGTCCTAGTGTAGACCAGGCCTAATAGGCCACATTTGAAATCTGAACATGCAGAACTTGAGGAATTCTGGGTCTCAATTTTGAAACTCCAAGTGTTTGAAGCCAAAGTTTTCATAGAGCTCATTATAGATATATTGGCCAAACTTTGCTGTCAGTTACACTGATTTAAATCCATAGCTATTTAACTGATTGAGCAGAATTTGGTCTATGAATTCAGATCTAGATCCTTTGAGTTTGAGCCAAACTCTAGTTATAGAATCATAAAATTGTAGGACTTGAAGAGACTCAAGAGGTCATCTAGTCCAGTCTCCTGTGCTCATGGCAGGACTAAGTGTTATCTAGACCATCTCTGACAGGTGTTTGTTTAACCTGCTCTTAAAAATCTCCAATGATAAAAATCTCCATTCCACAACCTCCTTAGGCAGTTTATTCTGGACAGGAAGTTTTTCCTAATGTCCAACCTAAACCGTCCTTGAAGCAATGGGCTTAAATTGCAGCTTGTCCTATCCTCAGAGGTTAAGGAGTATAATTTTTCTCCCTCCTCCTTGTAACAACCTTCTATATACTTGAAAACCATTACATGTCCCCTCTCAATCTTCTCTTCTCCAGACTAAACAAACCCAGTTTTTTCAATCTTCTCTATAGGTCATGTTTTCTAGACCTTTAATCATTTTTGTTGCTCTTCTCTGGATTTTCTCCAGTTTGTCCACATCTTTCCTGAAATGTGGCACCCAGAACTGGACACAACACTCCAGTTGAGGCCTAACCAGTGCTGAGTAGAGCAGAAGTACTACTTGTGTCTTGCTTACAACACTCCTGCTCATACATCCTAGAATGATGTTTTCTTTTTTTGTGACAGTATTACACTTTTTACTCCTATTTAGTTTGTGATCCACTATGACCCCCGGATCCCTTTCTGCAGTACTCCTTCCTAGGCACTCATTTCCAATTTTGTATGTGTACAACTGATTGTTCCTTCCTAAGTGGAGTACTTTGCATTTGTCCTTATTGAATTTCATCCTATTTACTTAAGACCATTTCTCCAGTTTGTCCAGATCATTTTGAATTTTAATCCTATCCTCCATAGCACTTGCAACCCCTCCCAGCTTGGTATCATCTGCAAACTTTATAAGTGTACTCTCTATGCCATTATCTAAATCATTGATAAAGATATTGAACAGAACTGAATCCAGAACTGATCCCTGCAGGACCCCACTTGATATCCCCTTCCAGCTTGACTGTGAACCACTGATAACTACTCTCTGGGAACGGTTTTCACCAGTTATGCACTCACCTTATAGTATCTCCATCTAAATTCTATTTCCCTAATTTGTTTGAGACGGTCATGCGAGACCGTATCAAAACCCTTACTAAAGTCAAGACCACCACATCTACCACTTCCCTATTTTTATTGCAAATATATCTCTTATTAACATTAATTCACTGAAAACTGAAATTGAATATGTAATAATTGAAGACTTTCTGCAAAATTGCTCATAGGTCCAAAGGCTGATAAGAAAAAGTATTCTAATACTGTTATCCAACTGAATACACTGCCAACAGCTTAATACTTTAAAAATTCTTATTTTACTCTCAATTGATTGCTTAAGAACTTAAAAATAGCCTCTTTCCCTATACTTGTTTTCCTTTCTTCATCTAGAAAACACTGATTATTTTTTCTTCTTTTGTGTTTTTCATGGAGCTGCAATTATTATGGCTTTCTTATTTTACTTTTTGACTTACTGTCTTGTTTAAGCACCAGCATGATGAGTGATGCCATCTTTGTGAATAGTGTTCATTAGATAACTGAAACAACAAAGCCAAAAGAAGTTTTTATGGCATTATTTTTGTGTAAATAATGCCATAAAAACTTGCCATATTTAAAGTGTGGATTTTGTTTGAAATCTTTCAAATATCTCAGGAATAGATAGGTAATTTTTTTTATTTTATTTTTTGTTTTTTAAAAAGAGACATATCAGATCCAGAAGATATTTCCTAATTTATAATAAGTTTAAGGCAAGGCAAGTCAAATCTCGAGTCTAAATTACTTACATGCCCTTTTCATTGTTTATCATTTCCTTAGCTATCTTGCCACAGACATATGTATAGATTGTGAAACCCCCTTATTTGCCTCTGTTGTAGAAAGTAGCACATTTGGATCCCTTTCAATGAAAGCCAAAGCTCTAAGTATACAGCAATTATGTTTGGTCTCCAATGTTATTTAAAAGTGGTCTTTTAAATTAACTTCCACATTTTTCCATTTCACAAAAGCACAGTTAACCGTGAGGCTGCCAACATCTTTCCATTTTATATCAACCAAAGGAATACTATGAAGTTAATGGGACTACTTACTGCTTAAAGCTGAACACATCCTTAAGTGCTTTGCCTAAAAAGGGTTTTAAATGACTATTTTACATGTTGTACTGCAACGTACCTTAATACACCAAAGTAATCCTAAAATCCAGTAATCCTGTGGTTTTTTTTCCCCCCCCCTTGTAAATTAGGAATAATTCAAAGCAAATAATTACTTGCCTATCCCAATGTGCCATGCTGCAATTCTCTCTTCTTTTAAATCCCTCATGAAAACCCACTCCTTTCATTAAGCCTTCAAATACTAGGACACATTGCTGTGATCTAGCAGCAATATCTAAACAGATTTTTATGTGCTGTACAGCACCAAGGACAATGTCAAAGCTGAATAAATAAATAATATATTTAATCAACACGTTTGCTCTTTATGCAATTTGAATCATGGATCCCTTTTTCCTTAATGAAAATGCACCAAACGGATTTTTTGTTGTTTATTTAGAATGTGTCATTACCTTCAGAGTATCCTTAACAGCCTGGGGATTCTCACTGCAGAAGGTGGAGGAGAAGGAAAACACACTGCTGCAAAACTTCCCCGTTTTTAGAAAAGCATACAAGGAGATAAATGGTGCTCAAAGGGGGTCTTGTATCCTACCCAAGTCCATACTCTTTCAAGCCTCTGACAGCATCCAGGAACGGGAACAAGCACACTTGGGTTATATCCAGGAAGGACAGATGTGTAAAGGCAGTGGCATGGTTGTTTACCAGGCCATTTACTGATGTGTCAAAGGCTGGGGTGGAGAGCCAAAAGGGAACAATGTATGACAAATGTTGTATCTGATCTTAAGGTAATATAAAGAGGGAAGTATGATCCCACATCCAGGTACTTATGTACGATAACACGTACAAAGGTGCAAGCACTGAGACACTTATTCAGGGTGTGGGAGGCTGTGCTCATTAAATATTGCACTGCCTCACCCCATAATACACACATTACAAGATACATCTAAGTGGGCAAGATAAGGGTCCAGTAGGTGGCTTTTATTCCCACCACATAACTTAGAGGCCACAAAACATCCTAGTAGTGTGACTATATTTATACCACACTGTTATATTATTGTATGTGTGTGTTTCCCACATCTATTCCTCGCTCTCTGGAGCTTCCATTGTGTTCCTGTGCTCATTAGACGAGATGATTGGAGCAGTGAGATTTGTAACTTGTCCATATGCAGAACCAATAGATGAGACTGTGCTTTGACCCAGTATGGGAAAGTTAAGGTATAAAATGCTAACAGCCCAATGCTGAGCAATGTCTAATTTATTATAAATTCAATAGATAAATTGCAAGTGCTGCTGAATTATTAATTACATATTTCCTATCTTCACATAGTTGTTTTCAACTGTGGTTCATCTGCATAGCTGTTAAACCAGTAATGGGTAGTCATTTTAATAAAACAGTGGCTGTCTTCTAATCAGTAATTTAAGATTTGTATTTGTTCACTTGTTAATCCTAGATGTGCTTTTCTCTTGATCCATATTTTCCTACACCTTATATAGCATGCAGCCTAAAGGAGTGCAAGAAGCATTCTTTCTTACACTACATATTCATTTTGTTTGATTAATTTTGTGTAGAAAGATTGCTGGTGAGTTTCCTATGTATGCATTACTAGAAACCAAAATTACTGAGAGCTAGAGATAAAATTAGCTTTTGAAATTCCTTTTTCCCTAAAAATAAAAATAGCAGAATCCGCCTTTAATTGACCACCTCAATCATCACAGAGGCTTCCTGTGTACAGAGGCTGTGCTTTGAATATCTGTTTTCCTTTGACTTTAAAAGGTGGCCTTTATTTGCAAGTTTATTATAGAAGCATTCAAATTAGAGGTGGGCCCAAGCCACAAAGATCACATCCGGGTCTGGATCCGGCTTTCCCACAGTTACAGAGGTGTTTGGGTCCAGGTTTTGGGGTTGTTACAGACAGACTTAAGAACCAGTTGTGAAGTTCAAATCCAGATCCACACTTCAAAGGCATTTGAATCCAGAGTTTTGGTTCTGATCCTGTTCTCATTTCACAACATTAGAGAAATCTAGTCAGAGGAGTTGTAATTTGTTGGCAGAAAGACATTTCCCAATAAAATATTTTTTCTTTTCTTTTCTTTTTTTCACATGGAACAAGTAATATAATCAATTCTTTCCCTAAGCACATAATATTGCCACGCGAGTGATGTGTTATTCAACCTACTTTACTGTGTGTCTATTAATCATCCTTGCCAGAATCCCCTGGTAACTTACACTTTTATTTCCCAGGGCTGGGAGAGGGTTCTGCCCTTCTTCATCCAGACAGCAGATCCCACCCTCGATCTTTAGAGAAGAGTGCATGGAGGTCTTTTAAGGAATCACAGTGTCATCACATGCTGAAACATCTTCACAATGGAGCCCGAATCACTGTACAAATGCCTCCCACCATTGAAGGGCATTGGGTCTCTACTGGGTAAGGATAACAAAAAAAGACACTTGAGTGACCTGGGAGGGAAATATCTACAAATGTTTTTAAAGCATTTTTCATAGATACTTAGAATGACAGATATTTTAGTTGTAGAACAGAATAGCATGCTGTAAAGCTACCTTGTTATACACCACTTTGCAGTCTGCATTTTTAAACAGTAAGGAATGCAATATTTTTTTAAACTTTTTTTGATTTAGAAAACAAAATATTGTTAAAACCTGCTTATATGAATATTGCACTGTATTACAAGACTGATAATGAATGGATCCTTGTTTTTAAGAGCTTTTGCATGAACAAATTTCATTAGCAAATTAAATTAAGAAACTTTATTTCATCAGCCCAAGCATGTGCTTATCTGTACATCATGACATTCAGTCAGAGTGAGATTTCATTTCCAGTGTCTCAGCTGTAATATTCATCAACCTATTTTAAATGATTTTCTTAGGCTGCTTTGAGGGTTTTAAGATATTTGAGGCCCGATCCTGTAATCCTTACTCAGACAAAGCTACAACAGAACTCAATGAAAGTGGTTCCTGAGTAAGGACTGCTGGATTTGGCCTGTAATTATTCCTGAAAACTCCTATAGATTTCAGTGGGAGTTCTGCGTGTGGAGCAATTGCAGGATAAAGATAGGATAGTCAGAAAAGATTCTAAGCAGATAAGCCACAAAGGGTTCAAAGAGACAAGCTGCAAACTTTGCTTCTATTACTACTGTAACTTTTTCAGTTACTGTACCTTATATTCACTGTTTTATAACAAACACAAAGCTACAGCAAGTTCACAGTAGCTAATACACTTTCTTAATGGAAAAGTTATGTGACCTTTAGTCTAATAAATAAGTCAGTAAATTATTTTGTTAATGAAACCCTTTTTTGGATGGGATTTAATGCTCTCCTGTGAAATGTGTAGCAAGAGTTCCTTAATAGTTTTTTGCCTACACTTTCTTATTAGTAGAGTGGAACCACTTAAATCACTGATCAAAGAATACATTTTCCACACACATGTATAGATATACACCAAAAAAGTGAGGTCCTCATCAGGGATAGCTCAGTGGTTTGAGCATTAGCCTGCTAAACCCAGGGTTATAAGTTCAATCCTTGAGGGTGCTATTTAGGGATCGGGGGCAAAAATCTGTCTGGGGATTGGTCCTGCTTTGAGCAAGGGGTTGGACTAGATGACCTCCTGAGGTCCCTTCCAATCCTATGATTCTACATTGGAATCTATGAAGAACAAAGCCCATTAAAGTCAATGGGAGTTTTTCCGTTTATTTCAGTAGACTTTAGACTAGGCCCTGTAACCCTAAAACTATTATCTTATAATAAGGGGAGCAACCCCTCTATTTAGGTTACCTAGCACTTTTCAGGGGTCTTGTGAAAAAAGGCAGTATGTGATCATGTAACAGAAGCCTGTATCATAACACGTACGCACAAGGGTGACAAATCAAGGTTTGCACTGGCAACCTAAATTCTGGTACTTACTAATTTTCAGCTGCTTGACTTTGAAACCTAAACAACATTCTTCTAATGTAGTTTTTTCTCTATATGATCATAACAATATGTCTGTGTAAAGAATAAGTTCTCAACACACTAAATGAAAAATAAATTGACCTGAAAAGTATAACCTTCTGAGCTTATAATTCTTATTAAATTTACTATTTTTGAAAAGTATTTATTTTAAACAGCCTGGATGACACCCAAGGGAGAGATTTTTCAAAGGCACAAAGGAGAGTTTGACTTTCAATGTGAGCTGGGAGCCTAGCCCCCTTTGTGCCTTTGAAAATCTTCCCCAAGTTTAACAACCTAGCCCCTCACCTCTAGGTCATGCATTCAGGTGGCCAAAAAGCATTACCATCTGATGGCTGTTCATATATAAATTTACACTAAGTGTTTAGGAAGTTTGAACAGCTGCTACCAATACTGTACCTGTTCTGTGGTCAGTTAAGATGCTTCATATTTCAGTGCTCTTGTCCTTTCTCTAAATTCACTCCTTTTTTTTAAAAAAAAAAAAAGGAAATATTTATTTATTTTGCAGCCACTTCCTATGAGGAAGAACTGCTTTTCATGACACTCCTGAGACAAAACCGAAAATATAAACAAGATTAAACATTCAAACCAGTATGGTTCAAATTAAAATATTTAAAAATCATGTAACCCGAGAGAGAAAATATAGTTGATAAAATGACAGATTAGGGGTAAATTTTTTTTCTAGGAGCAACAATACACAAAACTACACTTTTTTTTCCCTTCCAAAGCAGTCTTAGCTAAAGAAAACATAAGAGCTTATTATTCCAATTGTGCAAGTGATAAAAGAGGAGGAAGAGGAAGGGCTGCCCAGAGATTAACATAGGAACCTGGGACTTGGGAAAACCCAAGTTCAGTTCCCTCCTCAGTCAGACTTTCTTTGTTACTTTGGGCAATTCATTTAATTGCCTCTGTGACTGAGTTCTCCATCTGTAAAATGAAGGTGATAGTCCTTCCTTACCTCATGGGTAGGGCCCTACCAAATTCACAGTCCATTTTGTTCAATTTCACGGTCATAGGATTTTTAAAATAATACTTTCATGATTTCAGCTATTTAAATCTGCAATTTCACGGTGTTGTAATTGTAGGGGTCCTAACCCAAAAAGGAATTGGGGGGGGGGGGGGGGGGAGGTCAGAAGGTTATTGTAGGGAGTGTTGCAGTACTGCTACCCTTACTTCTGCGCTGCTGCTGACAGCAACGCTGCCCTCAGAACTGGAGAGCAGCGGCTGCTGGCTGGGAGCCCAGTTCTAAAGGCAGAGCCGCTGCCAGCAGCAGCACAGAAGTAAGGATGGCATGCTATGGTATTTCCACCCTTACTACTTCTGCTCTGCTACCTGCAGAGTTGGGCCATCATTCAGCAGCTGATACTCTCTGGCCACCCAGTTCTTAAGGCAGCAGCGCAGAAATAAGAGTGGCATGGTATGGTATGGCAGGGCGCTGCCTTCAGAGCTGGGTATCTGGTCAACAGCTGCCACTCCCTGGCCACCGAGCTCTGAAGGCAGCACAGAAATAAGGGTGGCAATACTGCAACCCCTGTAAAATAGCCTTGTGACCCCCTGCAACTCCCTTTTGGGTCAGGACCCCCAATGTGAGAAACTCTGGTCTTCCCCATGAAATTTGTGTAGTATAGAGTAAAAGCACACAAGACCAGATTTCAAGGGGGAAGACCAGATTTCATGGTTCATGACACGTTTCTCATGGCCATGAATTTGGTAGGGTCCTACTCATGGAGGCATTGTGAGGATAAATACATTAAAGACTGTGAGGAGCTCAGATACTACAGTCATGGTGGCTATGTAGGTACCACAGGTAGTTGAGTGGAATAAAAAGATAATGCATTTGAGAGGTTTCTACCGTACTAATGCAGTGCTAATATACTAGTGCACACTATAAGAATTTGACCATCTTATTAATTGTAGCATGATAGTGTGGTATATCTCTCTAAAATTTTGTTTTATATCATTTTCAATCCTCCTACAGCTGTGAAGTTAGATCAGGCCCAGAGTTTATCACAAGATCCTATAGATTCTACAACAACAACACATTCAAGGCCTACCAGTTTTATTACGGTGGTAACCGCTGCACAAACCCTACCTACACCTTAGTTATCCGTGGTAAAATTCGTCTTCGTCAAGCATCCTGGATCATCCGAGGGGGAACTGAAGCCGATTACCAGTTACATAACATTCAGATCATCTGCCACAGTGAAGCAGTAGCTGAAAAACTAAGTGAGTTGGTGAACCGTACATGTCCTGGATTTGTACCAGACAACAATCCCTGGGAGCAGGATGTGAGCTACAATTTGTGGAGAGAAGAGAATGGCTGTGAATGCACCAGAGCTCTTAATTTTGCCATGCATGAACTTCAACTGATCCGAGTAGAGAAGCAGTATCTACATCATAATTTAGATCACCTAGTGGAGGAGCTATTTCTCGGAGACATCCATACTGATGCTACTCAGAGGATGTACTATCGGCCTTCTAGTTACCAGCCTCCTCTTCAAAATGCAAAGGTACATTCACTTTATTTTTTGACAAAAGAAGCAAACCAAATTTGGAATCTTTTCTGAATTAACAGTTTTATTATAACCTAAACCCCCCCTGTTATTCTAGAGTCAGAGATGGATTGCAGGGTTACAGACAATGCAGTTCAATCAATTTTAAGTGATAATTCATGGGAGTAATATCCCATTTGTGGATTATGAAATTGCATTAAGTGCATTATTCGTTTGGGTCAATAGGAGGATGGGCTGCTTGAGCAGGAAGAGAGCGCCACTCTGCGTTAGAACCGATTACCAGAATGGGGAGATGAGAACTGCTATAGAAATGGACAAAGACTGATATAAGTATCACTGACAACAGAGAACGACATTACTACACGGGGGGCAAGCTAATTCAGAGTATTCTCAAGGTACCCAAAAGTGCAGACAGATGCAAGTACTGGGTAATAAAAAAACTGTAGTTTAGTGGATAGAGCAGTGAGTCAGGAGATCTGGCTTTATTCTCTGTTCTGTCACTGGACCGAAGTCACCTCACCTCTGCCTCTCCTCCATCCTGTGTCTATATTGTCTGTTTGGACTGAAAGCTCTTCAGGGTAGGAGATGTCTCCCACTATGTGCCTGTACAGTGCCTAACCCAGTGGGGTCCCAATCTTAGTTGGAGCCAGTAAGCGTAACTGTAACAAAACAATTAATAGGACCTATACGACGCCTGAAAAATGAAGATTCTGTAGATACTTTTAGTTTTGTGCATCTTGTTCAGATTCTTGTGACTTTTTTTTATGGGAAATTTGGGCATTGAGGCAATAAACTTTCATTATGATAGTTAGTAGGAAAAAAACATGTATATTAGCATTAGCCATCATAAAAGGCTGCTGGGTTTTGTTGTGTATCTACCCATGAAGTCTTCTGTACCAGCAGGCTGTTAACCTGGCTCTGGGCTGCAGTGTTTTTTGAATGTAGGAAGAATGGTAACAGAAGATGCGTTTTTTAAAGACCACACAAACATACCATTGAAAGGTTATAACCCTTCTTCTTTGAACTCCTTTCCTTTTCTAATTGCTGGTCCACAGGGACCCAGCTGAAAATGAGTTTAAATGCTAAATTGAGTTTAAAACCACTAGTCAGAGACTCCTCTGGAAACTGGACACCTTAAATAAATAGAAACATTAAATCAACTTGTTTTTTTAAGCTTTCTACAGTCATGCAGCAAGACTGGGGAGGTGAGGAAATAGCCATTGAACAGAATCAGGTGTGTTGTGTGGAATCTTTCATATATGGCTTGTTTCATTTCCCCCCCCCCCTTTTTTTTAAATATATAAAGACTTGTCTAAAATTAGTTTTTAAGAAGATTCACTATCTGAATTAAAATTATAATTAGGCCACCATGAAGATGATAGCTCCACCCAACTCGTAAATTTACTTACCCTAAAAGTTGGATGTGATAGCCACCACATTCATTACTTGTGCAGTTGAAGCAAATGGTAATTAAAAGCAAATGGCTGCTGGATCAGTTAGAAATGCTAAAGCCGCATGATCAGACTTTAAACAAATAGAGTTGGGCCTTTTCCAAATTCCTGCAGTGATTTAGCCAAAGGATGGTAAATCAAAGGGGCTGTCCAAAAACCAGACAGCTTTAAGCCAAGCTACTAATCTAAGTAAATTCACAAATGCCCATATCTTAACTCAAGTGTACATATGAAATTGGGGAGCTTTAAAAAAAGATCTAATTTGTAATCTCTTAAGGCCTTACAAATTCTCTTATCTAAGAACATATCCTACACCAATTCTTCCTTTAAAATATTGTACATACAGTAAGAATTTCAGTGCTGGGTCAATATGCTGACAGAGCTGAAGATAATAAATTCAGATCTGATTCTGAAAGTTGCTGAGCATCTTCAGCTTTTGTTGAAGTCATTCGGAGTTCAGAAAGGTGCCCTGCACCTTGCAAATTCAGCCTTTTAAATATTAGCTGAGAACTGAGAGACAGAGAAGGTTGGAGCGACCTTAGTGGTGTAATGGTAGCAATATGTTGTGCTGTGTCATATGGAAGATCTAAGGTCAAGAGTGACTTCAGGGATTCTTTCTCATTAGCCATAGAAATTACACGGTTTGCAGAGGTGATGTGAGATATAAGGCTCCTAATGGTCTGAGAAATCAAGAACAGGTGTGGAGCTCAACCTGCTCTTAGTGAAAGAATAAGAGCTCTATTTAGAAAAGATGCATATGTCCTAAAAATTGAGGTAATATGCATGGAAATCATACTGGCACCCAGCTTGCACATATAATTTGCACTAAAATATTGTTTACTGAATACATTGAACTCCAGGTGCCTCTTTCTCTTTATTCTGTCAGGCTACAAAGATCAGAGTGAGGATTATGTTAACAGGTTATTCTACTGACATCGTGGTAGCTATTAGAGTGTTAGGACGAAATTGTTTGTAAGGTCATCAGAACCGAAAAATGTGTTTGAATACCCTTATTTACCACTTTTTTGTGTGTGATCAAATATTTGATGAGACATTCAATTTTAATGAGAAACATTCCCATTCAAAACCATAAACTAAGTGTCTTCTCTTGCAAAAAAATTTTTGGGGGGAGGGGGGTGATTTTCAGAAGTGCTTAGCACTTGCAAGTACCACTGACTGTGGGTGGAGTTCTGGGTACTCAGAGATCTGGAAAATCAGGTTTTAATTGAGCATCCAAAACCAGAGGTGTCCAAAATTAGTGGACACATTTTGAAAATTTGGTCCTTAATCTCGGAGTTTCTTCATCTGTAAAATGAAAGCACTACTTATTTGCCTAATACCCAGGATAATTTCAAGGATAAATTAATAAACTTCTATAAAGTGTGTTAAATACCTCCGATAGCAGGTGATGTGTAAAATATTACCTCAGCCAAGAAATATAATTGTCTGAGGACAGTATTTTTTTGATTGGCCAAACCATAAATACTGCTACTAAAACATGGAAAAGTCTATTCTAGGTGCGGTGGGAAATGGAGGGGTTTCATATCTTTGTATTTGCATAAGACAGTTGCTTAAAGAAATAGGGTGGGGGAAAGGAAAAAGCAGAAGAAAACTATTTTTTAAAAACCCAGTGATTTCAAGACAATTATGAATAATAGGATGTATGGGATTATCTTTAGAAATATATTAACCAATCATTTAGCTGAGGCTTATTTTCATATTACAAATCTACTGGGTATAATGTAACAAAGGATGTGCTACTTTTAAAAGTTCTTCTTACTTTTAAAGTAACACGCTATACTTTCTCTTCATAGAAAAGCCAATGTTAAAGAATGGCTACAGTGAAATGACTTTTGCTCTTGTATAAATATTGAAGATTTAAAAAATGTGCTTTATTTTGTCTTTGTGGATTTAATTATTAGTTCTATTGTACAATTGTAAAAGCATAACTAACATTTTAAGGCAGCTTTATTCTTGCAGCTCTTCATGCACAGAGTCTTCAAGTTCAATCAAGTTCAAGTTCAATCACTTGCATCACTTTTTCCAGGACCTTGTTTGTTGCTTCTGCTTCCCAAAATATATATGGTTTATTGCTTCCGAAAATATATATGATTTGTCACTATAAATTAGCATCAATGTAGCTGGATAGATGACAGATGCAGGCATGTTCCTCTGAGGAAAAAGCTGTTTGGGTCTCGTTTCATCTTTTGCTGTGGATGGTGGGATTTAAATTCAGGAAGAACAACAATTTAAGACTTTCATACTTTATTTTGATTTTATGTGGGGTTGTGAAATTCAGTTGAAATCATTTATATCAGACAATGGTGCAATTATAGTGCCTTCAGCTTCCTTCCCCGCCTTTCTGCTCCTGGGAGCATTTGACACATACAATGCCCTAAAATTTGTGGTATTCATATGTGGACAAATTTCACTGCTTCCCACCCTTCTGCCTGCTCTGAATTCCCCAAAAAACCTGGCAATGTTGCAGCAGGATTCGATTTTTTTTTTCCGAACAGTACGAAACATTTTTCATTTGTTTCATGACTTTTAATTAAAAAGTTTTAAATCTTCTGTTGTCCTTATGAGTAAGCTCATTCCATTTGGCAGACTGAGCTACAACTGCATCAATCATACTTCTCAATGACCAGCAATCAGCCTTCTATGTTGGCCACCTTGGCCACATATGAGGTCATGACAACCGTACAAGTTACCACTTTTGTGGTGGAGTTCATTAAAGAGTTGTCTTGGTCTGGAATTATCTTTGAGGGTGGAGGAGTGGAGTGAGAAATTGTACTGAGTATCCATGAAAGTGACAAGGTGGGTGAGGTAAGCTTTCTCTCACCCACAGAAGTTGGTCCAATAAAAGATATTACCTCACCCACCTTGTCTCACTAAAATATCCTGGGACTGACATAGCTACAACAACACGGCATAGCCTTGAAAGTGTCCTTTATGTGGCCTGAGCTACTTGGCAACATGAGATGAAGTCCAGCTTTTTGCATTTATTTTAAGACCTTTTTAGCCTCCCTCTGAATTTAATGGCTCCAAAGGAGTTTTTTTAGGTTATTTTTGTTTCCATCTTGGGACTTTTTAGTTGCTAGCTCTAGGATCTGCCACCTAGATTCTCAGGTAATGAGTTGCTTAGAAGTGTTCATAGTAATAGTTGTGACCTGACATGCCCTTTTCTGCTGTTAGCCAGCTCTGCCTCAGCAGACTAGCTTTGTGGATTTTTGCTGGATTATTGGTAAGAGTATATTTTATTTTTCTCTTCCCTCCTACCTTGCCCCCCCACCACCAATGGCAATATTTTTATCCAGCTGATTTCAGTTACTTGATTCACAACTCTGACATTTCTAACTAAATAACTGCCTGTTATTGAGTTTTCTGAGACACTAGCTAAACAGGACCCACTTCTTGGGTCACAGCCTCAGCTGCTGTGAATCAGTGTTGCTCCATTGACTAATGGAGTGATAATTTACATCTGCAAAAGATCTGGCCCTTTTGAAGCAACCTTTTGCATGAAAGGTGCTGGAGTAGATAAGGGAG